CCCTGTATGCCAGGCACAAAGGTGCCTGTTGCACGTGACAGATGGAGCTACCGCGACTTCTCAGGGCTCTTGGTCCCAGGAGCTGCCTGTGGTTTTTGCCCGGGCCTAAACATTAGAAGGAACCTGAGGCCCAGATGGATGCTGCGTGATAGCTAAAGCCACCTTTGGCCCATGACGGCGGGTGCGCACCTGAGATCATCTCAGGGTGTAGGTTGTAGCAGTGTTGGTCTAAGGACGTAGGCAGACCAGGGTTCTTTGGGCAAATCTGATATCTCTTATTAGACCAACTCAAATAGAAATTATTTGGTCTAATAAAAGATATGAGACTTGCCCAAAGAACCCCGTCTGCCTGAGATCGCCTCGGACATCGCTCGTGAAGCTCATCTGTTTAGCTGAGGAGCGCTGCTGGGCAGGGACTTTCTCTGGAGAGTGCTGACAATGGTTTAGATGCCATTGGGCTACGGGTAGGAGGTAAAAAGTCCTCCTTATATGGCTCTGTTCTTGCTGCACTTTGAAGGGTGTGAATTCTTATCTGGGGAAATTTCTGCTCATGAACTAAGTGAAAGCACACATCTAGTATGAACTACATTTCTCAGACCTCTCGATAGCAAAAGATGCTGCCGTGACACAGACTAAAGTAGGTGATAAATGATCACAGGGCTAAAGATTGCTGCGAGAGTGCGAAGATAACAATCCGTGACACTGCAAACACCAAAGCAGCGTTGTGATGCATTGTACAAGAGGAGGTAACTTGGTGCCGTGGGGTGACGTTTAGGAGAAAGTAGGTTGAATATTTTCAGTGAGAACCAGCAAACTGTGGGAGTAGTCACACCAGGGAAGGCTGGAAAGTGAAAGACTCAGCTTTCCACGAGAACATCTTGCTGAGGACAACCCTGTCATGACCTCTGGGGACTTACTCGAGGACACCTTGCAGCTCTCTGCCCCTGGTTACACGACTGTTCAGCGTTGCTGAATGAAGAAAACGCTTGTACCGTTTTCTTCATTCTGTCAGAGGATGATCTGGGCACGGGGAACTGGCGGAGGTTGCGGACGGGGGCTGAGGAGGGAGAGAAGATTTAAAGATAATGTTTCTCTCGCTGTTCTCTTAAAGTTTAATAATTTAGAGGAACCTGGGACTTTCAGATTCACTTTTGGGATGTGACAACTGCAACTCGCAACAGCCTCGATAGGAGCTGCGCCCATGTTAAATGGGGTCAGACACCGCTCGCACGAAGAACCGGATTACGCTGGAAGACTCCCCGACTTGTAAACGGGATGCATCCCATGCAGGAACGTAGTCCTTTGCAGTTGAGTCCTTTAACTCAGACCTTAAGTATCACTATGTAACTTGTATAATTTAAAATTTTTGGACTTAATGGTAACCAAATGAAAGTAATATCAGCTTCTCTGTAATCCCGAGGCCTGGAAAGGTGCTTCCAAATTCTTTAAAAGTGCTCTGCTAGAAACAGTTATTTCAAAAACAAGCCATTTTCTTGCAGCGCGTGTGACCTTGATGTCGGGTCGTTAGAAACTGATGTTGCTGGAAGCGAACTCATCGGTTTCAGCTACCAAGCAGAGCAACATGCAGATCAACCACAGAAAATATCTACCCGTTGCTTCCAAGCCCTTGCCTTCGCCGTCAGGTGGTGTCACAAGCACAGGTTGCAATAACTTCTCTCTGTAACCCAACCATGTTGGGTTATTTTTCTGTTGACTATGTTTTGGAGTCGTCGTGTAGCCACATGCAGAAAGTATCTGTCAGTCGCATCAACTGTTTGTCTTGCTGGGGGAAGGTGTTTTTGGCAGTGAAGTATTTTGGATTGCTCTCACAAAGGCCAAATTATCTTTACTCGGGCAAATTCCCAAGTCATTCCATTGGTCGGTGTTGGGACCGAGCAGAAACCGAGCGAGGGCTTTGAGATCTGGATCCCCCGAGAGAGAGCGAGACGTACCTACGTGGCCCTGAAAGCTCAGCTTTGTTCTGGTCGAGTGCAGGGAAAGGGAAGAGAGAGCATTTTTTTGGGCTGCCAGGATTTATCTCTGGGAAGAGGAGCTCTCTGCATAGCTGGTTTGGGGATGATTGCTCAGCTGTGACTGCAGCACTTGCTTGTAAGGACTGAGCTGCTGCTGCTGCCGCCGCTGCCTGAGAGCAGCTGAGAGGAGGGTGGAGATTGGCAGCTCTACCGGAGCTGCTGTGTCAGGTTTCAGTGCAGAGCACGTGTGGATCATTCAGGCTGAGTTTACCGCTGCTTGCAGCTGTCACCAACGGGCCAAGCAGGGAGGATGGGGCAGGTCGCCTGGAAGAGTTTGTTCGTGTCGCTTTTTGATTATAAAACGGAGAAGTATGTCATTGCAAAGAACAAGAAGGTGGGGATCCTCTACCGTGTGGTGCAGCTCTCCATCCTGGCTTACCTTGTGGGGTAAGGGACACGGTCTCCGCTTCTTCTGCCTGCTGCGTACTTGCGGGGCTCACCTGGCCACAACCAGAGACTAGATGTGCAGTGAGGGCTTTCTCGGGCTGTGGTTTGCTTGGCTGGCTTAATGCGAATGGCTGCATTTGCTGATCATTGCTGGGGTTTGCGCGTGGGTGGATGCATTGGAGGCCAGGTCCCCCCTAGAAGCTCTGAGGCCCCCTCTCCCATTTGAGATCCACGCTCATTTTAAGAATGTGATTGTGACCTTAAAACTACGTTATTCCTGCCTTTATCGGCCGTGATGCCAGAGCACTGCCGGTGACCCTGCTGGAAGCTGGAGCATTTATCGCCGGTGTTGCCGGCTCTGGGGAGGTGCCAGGGAAAGGGCAGTGCTGCAGGGCTCCCTTCGGCGCTGGATGCTAGGTGAGATGGTGCCCGTGTGCGTGAATCGACTGCAGAGGGGGACGGCACCAAGCAGCAGATTCCTTTGCCTGGGACCGGCTGCGGTGCTATGAATGCGGGGAGGCCGCGTGCACGTCACGTGCCCTCCATACATTTCTGAGCAGGGCTGTTGGCATGGTGATGGGGTTAGCACCGCCGGATAATGGCTTGGTCCTGCATGCAGCCGAGCGACCTCGGGTCTTGAGCTCCGCGACCCAGGATTAGCGTGTAATGCATGGGCTCTTCCTCCCGGAGGATGTGGGAGGATGCTGCCTGTAAGCACCTCTGGCTTAGCTGCTTGCCCTTCGAGTCCTCACCGCTCCTACCCCCACTCCCTGTTTTCACTGAATAAATATAGCAGAGTCACTCTGCCTGCCGGGTTTATTTATAGCCCCGGCATTACTTAGCAGAGCAGGGACGGAGTCTCAGCAGTCTGGCATGTGCCCGGTGCTGAGGAAGCAGTCCGATAGCTGTGACCCCTTTGGGAGAAGAGGATGCTAAAGAGACTCCTGGCAGGGAGCCTGAGGAGCCTGGGTGCTTGTGATAGTCCCTCGCTGGTGTGTGTGGCTCTGTGAATCCTTCTGGTACGCGGCGCTAAGAGCGCCCTTGCCGGGCTACCTTGCTCGCTGCTCCTGGGCTGCGCTTGCATTTACCAGCCGTGATGAATGTCATTAGCCTGATCTTTTTAGTGCCGTTCAGATGAGGGGCCTTGAGCGCTGCATTGGGCTTCTGGGCCTGCCCTGACCAGCGACGTCCGGGGACAGGATGTTGTTTTCTTTCCCCGCCGAGTGGGGAGAAGCCAGAGCCGAGTCTGGAAGACGGGCCTGGCAGGTGCTAGCTGGGAAATGTGCTCGTCTTGCGGGGAATTGGGGAAGTATGAGAATCGGCTGGGAGGAGAGGATGGAGGGAACGTTCTCATTTCGATCCTCATCTGCCCCGGGAACAGGCATGAATGAGTTGGGCATGTGTTGCCCCTATTCCTCCTGGCAGCTGCCGACGCATCCAGGCCCCCCCAGATCTGGCCTGCCCCTCCTCTCTGATGAAGTCTGCCCTCTTGCTGGTCTGAGGTTCTTCACCGACTCGTGCTTTTTGGCAGCGGGCAATCCAAGCTCCACGGCAGCCCGTGGCTCAGGAGCTGGCGGGCACTTCAGTCTGCCACGTAAGGGTCTCACCGCTCGGTTCCTGACCCCGGCAAGGCTGGTGATGCAAAGTTTTCTAGGAAGTAGCCACCCCCAACAGTGAACCCTGCCCAGGGCGTTACTTAAGCTCCCCTGGCAGGATTCGCAGTCCACTGGCCCAGGAGCGAACCCAGAGCCAGATGAGAGCATTTTCCCTGTGGATCGCTCTGAGCCAGCCCCTGCCCAGCTTCCCGAGCCGCGTCTCCTGGGCAATGACTGCTGCGGAGCTGGCAGTCCTGTAGCAGGTGGTGACATGGGTGCAATCAGCCGGCACCCAGAAGGGCTGCTGGAGTCTCTCCCATCACAACTCTGCCCAAAATATGCCCAAACGAGGGTCACCCCTGTTAGTGCTGAGCAACTGGTAGGTGTCCGGCACAGTGGGAGGAGGCTGACACAGGACCAGACCCCCAGCTCTGCCCCGTAGAGGTGAGCAGGGGCTTTTCCTGGATTAGGCTGTATTTATAGATTCATAGATGTTAGGGTCAGAAGGGACCTCAATAGATCATCGAGTCCGACCCCCATTTAGGCTTTGGCTCGTGCATGACACCAAGCACAGGCTGCCTTCGTTACCCTGCTGTGCCTGGCAACCTTGAGCAGGAGCCTGGCTCTGCCCTGCACAAGTGGGACCTCAGGCAAGTCACTTCTCACCAGTGCCCTGTGTCGCGTTAGCCATGGCTGTTTGGGGCTCTGGACACAACAGAGGTCGTTCAGGGATTTGCTTGCACTAAGGTGCTTATTCTGAATTTGGCTGAGAGGAAGTCAGTGTTGCTGGCGAGGTCTGATTTGCCCTTGAATTGCACTTTGCCCCCAAAGGAGCCGTCTCCCTGGGGGCAGGGGTCCTTGAGACCCCTTCTGGACTGGTGCTTGTTGCAGGCGGTTGGGATCAGGCTTGGGAAGGCCCTTGGGTCTTGCTGACCGGCTCATGCACTGTCCCGGCTAACGCTGTCACCCGCTTCTCTATTCACAGGTGGGTGTTTGTCATCAAAAAAGGCTACCAGGACGTGGACACCTCCATCCAGAGCTCTGTCATCACCAAGCTCAAAGGGGTGGCCTTCACCAACACCTCGGACCTGGGGGAGAGGCTGTGGGACGCGTCCGATTATGTCATCCCCCCACAGGTTTGCTCTGCGGCCCTGGTCCCTTTGCTTTGTCCGTCAGCCTCCGCGGCTGGACAGACTGATTCCAGCTCGGTTGCTACTGCGAGGAGTGACGTAGGGCAACCGGCCTTGGGGTGCCTTGGAGCCTCAGGGCTTTCCTGCAGGTCTGGACCGCAGATCTCGCTGAAGCATTTTAGCAAGGGAAAAACCACATTGATTTCTCTGCGTAACGTGAAGCTGCTGCTTAAGTGCTTTGCAGGTCTGGGGTCGGGCTGAAAGCGCGCTGCACTTACTCATGCCTGCTCTACTGGAGAGCTCCGAGGGGAGCCCTGGGGAGGCGAAGGAGAGGCAGGAGGTTGGTGCAGGTTGAGGAGGAGCTGCCCCTGGCCATGTCTAACTGTACAGTGAGGTCTCACGGAAGTCTGTCCAGAAGGGACCCCAGAAGCCATCACGTCCAGCCCCTGTTCAACGCAGGGTCATCCTGGTCTCAGCTGTTCCAGGCAAACGCTTATCCAGCCTGTTAAAAACATCCCAGGGTCTCCACTGTTCAGCCCCTGTATGTGCTCTGTACCAGAGCTGACCCCTCCCCTGGAGCTGGCAAGTTCCTCATAACGCCCAACCTACGCCACCCTCGGTGTGATTTAAGGCCATTATTACTTGTTCTCTCCCCTGCGGGCATCAAGCACAAATGGTCGGCAAAGGGCATGTGCCCTTACCCCTCGGGCTGCTGCTTTCTTAAACGACGTTGAAGCCGCGGCCCCGGCCTTGTCTCTTCTGCAGCATGTCCGAGCAACGGCCGAGGCAGGGAAGAGCCAGAGCTTCCTTGCATGTCTCGAGTTCTCCTGGGGTTGCTGACAGGTCTCTGTTCAGCACTGAGGCTGGCTCGTCCAACGTGAGCGGTGGCAGGAAGCAGAGCCGTTTCTCGGGTGTGCCTGAGAACAGCTCCACCACCACGTTTTGGCCCCCAACGCGTGGACGCAGCAGGAAGCCATTGGTGTGCTCTTGCAGGTGTTGAGGTGGCCTGGTGCCTCCCCTCCGGCTCTGAGGTGCTTGTGGTCAACCACACCCTTTTGCTTTCAGTTTCCCTGCTGCCCAAGCACTTACTTCCCTATCTGCCGTAGATAGCTTAACCTCCGTGTGAAGCACGAGACCTGCAAGCAAGAGCTTAGCTTTTACTCCCTTCTGGTGCCTGGACCATTCCCTGTCTGCCTTGCTCTGTTGTATTAAAAATTGCTTAGGGCTTGCGTTTCAGGCTGTCTGTGCAGGTAACATTCACCCACATTTGTAACCAGGAAAGCCGTCCCCCCGCTCCATGGCATGTGCACGTGCCTGTACGTGCTGGTGCAGAGCAGCATGAGCCAGGCACAGATCTGTGCACCTTGTGGTTCTGCAACAGGACCTGAGCTCTGATTCTCACCTAGTCGTTGTGGTTTATGGGAAAGGAAAGGAAAGCTGTGTGCTGAGAGCTGCGACTGAGCCTACAAGTGCTGTCCTCCCAGCCTCCCTGCCAGGCATTGCATCTTGCTTATCCAAGTGCAAGCACCTGCCTCCCAAGCCTAGGCGCGGTTGAATGCTGTCCTGCCTGCAGCACAGGGTTTCACATACGTGCCCTGTGGTTAGGATACAGGCTGCAGGAGAGAGTGCTGTGCCCATGCTGGGGGGCGACATGGCCCCATGCAGAGATCTGGGCTCCATCCTCACCCTGCCACTGGCTTTCTGGGTGACCATGGGCAAGTCACTTCTCCCTGTGTTATTGTGACACCCTACGTGAGGCGCTTAGACCTGGGATTGGAAAGTGCCACGTGAGATCCCGGTGTTGTGCTGCTCGGAGCGTGCGACTATAGCAGGGTCAGCGGGCTTTGAAAGGTGTCTTTTCCTTTTTCCACGTCTAGGGGGAAAGCATCTTCTTCGTGATGACGAACCTGATTGTGACCCTAAACCAGACGCAGAACATGTGCCCCGAGGTAGGAAGGGGAGGGCTGGCCCTCAAACTGGCAAGAGGGAACAGCGGACCCGGGAGATGAGGAGGGAGGGGGTCATCTCAGACCTGGAATGGGAGAAATGGGATTCGTTTCAGGGTGGGGTTGGGGGAGGTCGGCTGGCTTGATGTGCAGAGGTGCTGGGCATTTCCAGCTCCACCGGACATCAGTGACCGCTGCCAGGACCCAGCACAGCTGAGAATCAGGCCACTGCAGCATGCAGTCAGCTGGAGAAGGGGGAGGGGAGGAGTCGTCCAGCTGGACACGGACGTGTTGCAGTAGAGCCCAGGGAAATGGATGGAGTGACCAGTGCCACCCACGCTCTGTTTTCACTCTGGCCAGCGGGCTGGAGGGTGCTCAGCACCTAAACCCAAAGGACTGCGCCCTAAACCAACAAAGAGCAGGTCTTGGAAGCTGTATCATGAGTGAGGCAGAGGAGTCCCAGTGCCAGGATGCCCAGGCCTGGTGCAGCTGTCCTGCCTCCATCTGCACACGCATAGGGATGTTCTGCTTATTAACGACCCTCTCGCCCCGTCCTGGCTGACTTTGCCTTACCCTGCGCTGAGCTGGTCGCGCGCACGGACAGGTGGGCGTCCGGCAAAAGCCACTTTCCTGGCTGAAGCCTTGAGAATGATGGCCCTTCCCTCTCCTCCCTGCTTCTGGCTAGCTGAGCTCCGGGTCTGCCTGCAGCGCTGGTGGGGACCGAGCTGCCCTCTCGTGGCCGCATCTCTCAGCTTGTAGCTGGCGGATCAGGGACTCGAGACTGTACCCAGGGCCCCTCTGCTATACTGCAGGGTGAGAGAGTTCCCAGAGTAAAGCGATGTAGCGCCCACACCTCAGCAGGGCATGCCAGACCACAGGCAAGGCAGGAGAGTGCCCAAAGCGCCTGTGTGACTTAGGGGCACGTGCCCTATTGAACGTCAGTGGGGCCTGGTTTTCTAAATCACTTGGGCACGTAGACCAATGAGGAAGGAGAAGAAATGGGTTTTACTCCCCTGTGGAAACACAGCGGGTGGGTGAGCAGGCTTCTGTGAGATCCAGTGCCTCTCCCTGTCCCTCGCCCGTTAAATAGCAGCGCGTGCCCCTCTGCAGCTGGGGGGCCGGGGAGAGCTCCTGTGGACGTGTTTGTTGCCTGGTCGTGGCCCTCGCTGGCTGCTACCTCCTGCCTTGCAGAGCCCTGCCATTCCCGACGCGCTGTGCAGCAAGAACAAGGACTGCCCTCGGGGGGAACCCGTGAAAGCTGGCAACGGTGAGTGATGGGGTCACCCCGGTCCCTGCACTTCACCTCGGGCAGTCGGCTCCTGGCCTGGGAAGACACCAGGGCGGGGAGAGGCTGGCTGGAACTGTGCGGCTCTGGCAGGCTTCCTGGTGGGGGGGGTAGCAGGGGGTGCTTCAGGCTAGGGATGTCTCAGATGTCTAATTGGTAACAGAGCTGAAGCAGCAGTGTCCGCATCTCCCTGAGCTATTTATTTGCCATCACTGACTTGTCTACAGCGTCTTTAAACAGCCAAATGGGTACTAGCCACGCTGCCGAGATCCCCTGGGGCTGCTCTGCAGAGCAGCAACGAGGCTGTTTGAGAAGGGAGAGCTGGGGGGACGACGGAGGGCCTGGGGAAAGCTGTCTATCATCCAGTCTGCCTGGGGGGAAAGGAAACTGGGTGCCCCACATGACCTTGTCAATGGTCTTCTCTGTGTCGCAGGGGTGAAGACAGGCCGCTGCATGAAAACGGGGAGCAACGTCAACGGGACATGTGAGATACTAGCGTGGTGTCCAGTGGAGAGAAAATCCAGCGCCAAGTGCGTGTCCCGTCTTGCCCTGTAACCAAGCATGGCTTGCCATCTTCGGCAGCATGGTTTCTAGGGAATAGCTGATGGAAAAGTGCTGGGTGGTGGTTGCTGGAATGCCCTTTTTGAACCAGGTTGGAAGAGCCCCTGTACTTAAATGTAGCAGGGAGCTCTGCACAAGGGTGGCGCGGGGCAGGGACCGCGCTCCCCTGTAGACGCAGGGGGGACACAGTGCCGCGCAGTGTGTGCCAGGTGCCCTCCAGCCCTCGCTGCTCCCTGACTCCCTCTGTCGCTGCCCGTTTCTGAAACAACCTCTTGAAAAGCTGGCCCACCTGCGTGGGCTGCTGGGTAGGGCTGAGCTGGGCCAGGAGAGATCCTATAGTGCTGCCAGGGGTTCGGAGGATGCAGCCCTGATTTCTGTCTTGTGAAGCAGAAAGGTGAGAGCAGAGGGCCCGGAGCCGAAACCCACCTGACCCCTCTCTTCCAGGAAGGTGCTTTTAGCGAATGCGGAAAACTTCACCGTGTACATCAAGAACTCAATCCGCTTCCCAAAGTTCAAATTCTCCAAGTAAGTGCACGTGCTGCTCTCTGCCTCACTCAGAGCCTCTCTGATGTCCATAATCCTACGTGGGCTTCTTTAGCTTTATTTCCCTCTGCATTGCGGGTGCGTGATTCAAATGCCCTTCTAGGAAGGTGGATGCTTCCTGCTGGTACTCAGAGGAAACCACATGGCTTCTGGCTGTGGAGGAGCAGGGAAGGGCCAGGAGGGAAAACCGCCAGGCTCCTGAGCACCGCCCAGCCTGTCACTTGTCGGACAGGACCTTTGACCCGCACGTGGCCGCACGCATCCCAGCCATAACTGCTCCAACTGCCCGGTGAAATACAGGCTGCTGTTTCCATTGCAGGTTTTATTGTCCTGCCCAAGTAACCACTGCAGTCAATCTGAATACTGGAGTATTTCCTTGTACAGCCGGGCTGGCCGCCTGACCAACAGGCGCCCACCCAATGTAAAATCTGTTGTGCAAACTATCGCTGACCTGCCTATTAGAAACCGCTCTACCAAGCAGCAGTGTCTGGGGCAGGGCACTTGGAGGGCTCCTTGGGAAGGTAAAACCAGGGTGCTCTGCCTTTCCGCCTCCAAATTATTAAGAATGTTCTGCTTGAAGCGAGGAGCATGGTGGAGCCAGCAGGAAGGGCTGGCTGGGCCACCTGCTCTGGGCAGCTTTGTTGCCCATTCCTGGTGGGTGGGTGTGTGGGTGTGCGTGTGTGCTGAGAGCAAACAGGATGCAGGGCAGCTGGGGTGGGGACCGCAACGGAGGCATAACACTGGAAGGCAATGCTGAAGGGAGGGTGAACCCTTCCGCAAGTCCTGGTTTTGTCAGCAGATGGCCTGGGGGGGTAAAGGTCAGCCTGCCTCAGTCTGTTCACAGGTCCCAGGGTCTGTGTTGGCATCTGAGCATGCCAAGTGCATTGATGGTAACAGAGTAAGTGGCGTGTTGCCCTGGGTTGCACAGCCGGTCTGATAGCAGAGAGGCGCTGCCCCGAAAAGGAAGGTCCCTCCGTGGCTCCATGGGGCAGCAGAGGGAAGGGTTGGAGCAGCTCTCTGCTTTCCCATCTGCAGGACGAATGTGCTGAAAACTAACGACGACTTGTACCTGAAATCCTGCCACTACAGCCCCAAGAACCTGTACTGCCCCATCTTCCGCCTGGGCAACCTCGTGAGCTGGGCCGGGAGCAACTTTCAGGAGATGGCACTTGAGGTACAACCACCATCGTCCCATGCTCCCCCAGCCAGGGAGAGACCTCCCCGCAGTGCTGAGACATCTCTGTTGGGTGGAAGAAAGGACCCCACAGATGTGATCCCCCCCCATCCCCTCCCTGGCCTGACTCAGCTTGAACAGTGTCCCTGTAAGGTCTGTCTGTGAGAAATTCGACTCCCTATGGTTTACAAATCCGTTGTAGACAGTGCTGCTGGGCTCAGAGAAACGTGGAAAAATTAATCTGTTGTCACATAAGGGGAGACTCAGCCCTGTCAAGGAGTCAATGCAAGGCCTGGTCCCTCTGGAAGCCCACTCACTCAGCCCGTGATGCAGCCCTTGTGCTGGCCTGCTGCATGGGACTCAGTCTCGCCTGCCGTGGCTAAGTGTCCTGTCTGCTGAAGGGCACAGACTTCATCAGCGCCTGGATGTGGAAAACCTCATGGCTACACGTGGGTCCTTCTGGCCTGGGCACTGCAAGGTGCACAGTGTAACTGCCCCCCAGATTTCCAGTACAGGAAGAGTCCTGGTGGTGCCGGGAGCATCGTGTGATTAGCTTCAGTGACATGAATGTGGCTCATACTGATCTCCTGGCCAGGACCGGGGAGGTCTGCTTTCCTCTCCTCTTGCTTGAGAGACACTTGGCAGAAGAGCAGGAAGTGGGGTTCAAGGAGGAAAGAACCAAGCTGGGCTACAAGAACAGCCCACTGAAAACCTCTCTCCCTCTCTCTCCTCCAGGGTGGTGCCATCGGGATTATGATTGAATGGGACTGCAACCTTGATAAAGGGCCGTCTGAATGCAACCCTCACTACTCTTTTACCCGGCTGGATAACGAGTCTGGAGAAAAATCCATCTCCTCTGGGTACAATTTCAGGTACGTTACTGCTATCCAGCGTTGCAATCCTGGATTGTAGATTGTATCAGACTCTGTGCCTAGGCCTGGCTAGCTTTTGCAGCTGTGTTGCTCTGCTTCCATGATTAGAAGACTATTTAAAATGTTCCCTGCCTCTTACACACACACTCTCAGAAAAGCAGGGCTGGAAGGGACCATAGGTCATGTAGTCCAACCCCCTGCCGGAGGCAGAAATCATCCCTATCCAAACCCTCCTGTACAAATCCACAACCTAAACTCTTAGTAAGACTGTAGTGAACCCTGACACAAACACAAGCTGCTACACCCTAACCTGCCACAGGTAGAGCAGGTGAACCACGGCAGCCAGCGTCACATCTCGTTACGGCACCTAAGCCACGAGTCGGCTCTTTGCAGAGCTCGTACCCTGACACAGCAGAGGTGTGCAGCGATTATAAACCTGGAATGGCAGAAATGATTTACAAGTTCAGCTGAGTCGGCCATAATCTGTACCAAGCCCCAGCTATGCCCATCGTCACCCCCAGACAGGGACGCTCGGCTGCCACGGAGGTCTTCGGGATCCAGGCACAGGTGTGGCACATTTTCCTTCCCTTCTTCCACTGAAATGAGGAGGAAATTGCAGCAAGGTCATTGCACCAATCTCCTTGGGCTTCCTGATCCCTCTGGCTAAGACTGGACATGAAACACTGTCTCCAGGATTGAACTAACTCTTGGACCCAACCCATGTGCTCCTCTGAGGTGTTGGGTTTAGGACCACACTGTTCTTCGTAGCCAGGTGTTTTATAACAGGGAAATATTCCCACACCTGGACACTGATGTAACCCCTCTGCTGGGCACCCTGCAACATGGAACTAGAACACTTTTAACAGTATAAAATGGCTTGTAGATTGTGTGTGTGTTGCATTAAAATAGCTTCATCTAGAAGCGGGGCGGGTGCCTGAGTTAAAAATCAATGGCCTCACGTTCCCTGCATGCCAGGTTTGCGAAATACTACAAGAACACTGACGGGGTCGAGTTCCGGACGTTGATCAAAGCCTACGGCATCCGCTTTGACGTGATGGTGAACGGCAAGGTGAGTGAGGAGCCTGGAAAGAAACCGGGGAGGGGGCGTTGTAAAGCTGGTAAAAGCTGAATGCATTACAGCAGTGCTGCGATGAGACCGAAACCCACTCCTCCTGCATGTTGAGGGGAGGGGGCTTCTGGCAGTCCAGGCTCACTGGCATGAGGAAGTAGGGTAAGTGTGGGTAGGGGAGGGCACAGCAGAGGCTGATTGCAGAAGCAGGCTGGGCAGAGTTGGATGAAGACACCGTCCACACGTAGGATCCACGTCACATCTCCTGCAGGTTAAGGAAAGCAGCTCAGGCGAGGTCCAGCAGCTCCCCGGGGAAGAGAGGTAGTTTGGTTTCCTGTGCATAAACCTCAGAACTGTGGAGGTCAGGTTTCAGGAGAGGCCTGCATTAACGCCCTGCTGCCCGCAGACAGACGCAGGCCTCTTAGTGCAGACGCTAGTCTCGAAAGCCTGCTCTGCGAAGAGCTCTTTCCTACAACCCAGCCTGCTGCTGCTGGTACCTAGGCAAAGGGCCAGATTTCCCCGTAGTCGGCTGCTTGGCTCCTGGTGAGCTGCTGAGCTAGCGCTAATCGCTCTGTGTTCTGTGGTTTTTTTTCCAGGCGGGAAAATTTAACATCATTCCAACGATAATCAACGTGGGTTCAGGGCTCGCGCTTATGGGCGCAGTAAGTAAAAGCCACTTCTAATTCATTCCAGTCCCAGGGTTAAGGTGTCACCAGGGTGTGCCGTAGGCTTGGAAAATGAGACTAAAAGTGAAACTGTCTGTCCTAGGAGGATTCCTCAGAAAGGCTGATCTGTGGGGTCTGTGCTCACTGCATGTCCCCACCAGGGTTTAACGCACGAGGGAGAACAGATCCCACCAGGGGCATGTACATGGTGTGAAGGCTGAACTACAAACAGTGCTGTAGCCTTTCATGTGTTCTCCTCTGAACAACACTCATTGCAAATTAGACCGGGTCCCCTATTGCTGCACTTCAAAACCTGAAATGTGATGCAAAGAAACTCTAATATGCTAAGATGTCTTGGGTCGGCTGGCATGGTGGAAGAGCCGAGGCAAGACGGGTCCCACCGCCACTGAACTGTCCCCAAGGGGTTAGAAAGCACATAAAAGCCTCCTGTAAATGGTGACAAACTGCTGGCTTCAGAATACGGCTGGGTGTTAAGGAGCCGCTAGCAGTGGTTTTGTGGATTTTAACTGGCAGGAGCTACCTTTGCTTTCAGAGACTGCAACGTGTTGCCCTCAATCTTTTGCAGGGAGCTTTCTTCTGCGACCTGGTGCTGCTGTACCTCATCAAAAAGAGCCACTTTTATCGAGGCAAAAAGTACGAGGAAGTGAAGTAAGTAGGACTCTCGTCACGTTTCAATGCGTAACATTGTACCGTACTTTGGAAGGACGTGGTGGTGCACAGGAAATGCTAATGGCAGGGGGGCCGTTTGCGGGCAGGAAACGATCCGCATACAGATGAGGATAGCGAGTCCCTCCCTCCAAGTCGTGGCTGGAGCGAGGCAGGGAACAAGGAAAGCTGCTGCCTCACAGACAAGTCAATAACGGCCCCCGGCTCGGTCCATGAGGATGCCAAATGGAATCGATGGCAGCGTCCCAGAGCTGCGGCAGCCTGGTCCCGTGTTCGCTTACTGAGATGAAAAAGAGAGGCCCAGCCAGGGAGCGGGTCTGGGCAAGGTGACTTTGGGGCTGGGCAGGGACGCAGCGGGAGCTGCGTCAGCGATAGCAGAGCAGGCCCCTTAGGCCCATTCCCAAGCTGCTCAGTTGAGATGGGTGATGATGACAAAGATAAAAAGTGCCAACGACAGCAGGAGGAACTGCTGCACCAGGCACGTCCAGTGTCATATCTGGCACAGTGCTGGTGCAGCCTTGGAGCCCCGCTTTGAAAATAAGGGTCTCAGTTCTCCATTGGCTTCTGTATTTCATACGTGGCCCAGCAGCCTCTCCGGTATGTGGGCGTACAACCCACGTGCATCAGCAGGGAGTTAGGCAGGTCCCTCCGTGGAGCCAGCGACCCCTTGCCAGCACACAGTGCCAGCAAATCATGGGAAAAGGGCTTGGCTTGGAAGAGGGGTGGTTTAGCTTTGTCTTTTCCGATGCAGCTGGTGTTACACAACATGCTCGGTCCTAGCTGTGAAAGGCTGCATCTGCCTCTGGGTGCACGTGCAGCCACTGCTGGAGCGAGGGGCAGTGTTCGGCCCACGGAGAACCGCTGTGGGGCCGCTTGCTGGCATTATGCAAAAACCTGCTAGTCAATGTGACGGCTGTGTAAGAAGCTCAGGTACAACGAGCTTGTGCAGCTTGGGCAAAGGTGCCTGCCTGCTCAGGGAAACAACCCTGCTCTTAGCTGAGGTGGTGGGCATTCACCCAGCCTGGCACCAACTGAAGCCCCCGCGGCTCTGTCCAGACAGGACACTGCTGCCCTTGGACCTTTCACTGCCACTTTTGCCTCCTATTCCCAGGTCCTGTTCAAGGAATACGGTTCCGGGTGCTACCGCGAGTGGAAATCAGAACGCCGAATCCCTGGCTGGGCTGAGGCAACTACAGGCAGTGGAGACTTAACTGCCAGCCTGGTGGTTAGAAAACACATTCCATACAGATTGTGGGGTTCAAGGCAATGCTCAGACTGTGAGCTGGACACAGCCTGCGTCAGGTCTTTGTATCATCTGGCTGCCCAGAGAAGAGGTCAGTGATGGCTGTTCGCTACCAGACAGCAGTCTGCTTGCATCTCCTACCCCGAACCATTCTGCTCTCTCTTGAGCCAGTGACGGCAGTCATTGCTACAGGACTTTTATTTTACAAAGCAACACGAAGAAGCCAAACCACGGTTTTATACATGCCGACATCAAAACCAGCATTGTGACGTGGCAGCGCTCAGCTTCTGCTGCAAGATCAGCACCATGAAACACGCTTAGCATTCCCAGGAGAGGTGGGGCTGGAGAAACTGGTGCTTCCCACTCCGTTCCGCTGCCTTAGCTTCCAGATCCTGCTAGAGGTGGAAATCGATCGGCCTGCTTGCCCCGGGACGAGGGAGCGCTGGTCTTTCATGCAACCAAGGAACAGGGCCGGGGTGGGGGCTCCTTCCCTTTCAGAGCCCCTGCTGCCGAGACACACTGCCCGCACGGGGCGATAAACTCATCGCCTTTGAATATAAACTGATAGGCAGAAGTGGTGCTCTCGGGGAAAGCCCTCCCTCGAGGCAGACTGTTTCCTCCCCTCTCCAGTGAAATGTGTTATCAACCCTCCATGATACGATAGCCTGGGCGTTGCCTTCAAGAGCACACGAGTGTTTGCAGTAACCATGCGCAGTGTTGATACCCGTGAGATTTTCCACTGGTAACTGGGCCGAGTGGTTTCCCCCTTGTGGGTGTGAGAAAACCCAGGGTGTCTGCCAGGCTGGCACGGCCAGTCACCACATTCGGGAATGTTTTGAATCAAGCCTGTTGCTTTCCAAGGAAGTAGGGAAATGCCTTGGAGACGCATGCAGTGTAGTTAACCCTTGGCTGTTTTTCTTGGGGGGAAAACAGCTGCTAGGAGTTGAAGTGGGAGAGGAAGGGAAATCTATCATACCATGGCAATGGTCACGGTCAGCACGCTCAGGAAACTCAGTACCAGGCCCCCTCCTGCCTCCGCTTGCTTCAGCAGTGCTGCTCCATTTCCCTATCATCTTGGCCTGTAGGTTTGTGAACAGTTAAGCAGCGTGCAGCACCTACCGATTCCAGGCCCAGAGAAGGGCTTGCTGCTGCTGCCAAACATGCCCCGTGCCGCTGGACCGGCAACGGGTGCATCTGCTCTCCCTTCTGATCCGCAGATAAAGTTAATGACTGGGCCTAAACCAGAAGCCACCGTTTAATTTAGAAGCTGTGTGCACTCATGCTGCTGCTGGTGCACACAAAGCCTCGTTCATCTTTACAAGTCTCTTCTCTAGGCAAAGGATGCTGTGTCCATAAAGCCATCCTAACAGGCCTGACTTAGTGTAGTCTCTTAGAAATATTTTTCTGTCACTGTAGTATGACTCTTACCTAGCTAGTAGTCTGCTGGATGAGTAGTATTTCCATTTAATTCTGCTTATGTAGTTTTAGAAGCTGAAACAAGTGGCATAAAGGAGTGCTATCGAACATTGAACCAAAGTGCAGTTCAGGAAGACCAAACGGCTCGTCACAAAAATTAGGCCGGGCTCGTTCTGTACTGAAACGAATGTTTCAACATGCCAGAACAGTACAACCCGCTTCCGGAGTCGAAGTCTCTCAATCTCCTCACAATACTCACTGCATTGTACTAACCCACGCCCTTTCTTTTCCCTTTTGCAAACTCTAGACACTGTTTAACCGCACGATTCTCAGGAGTTTTTTCTTTTTACCGTGTTTAATATCTTTGTTGATGTTTATATGCAGAAACGGGGTTTTTGTCTATTTTCAGACAACGCTCTTGGCCTCTTCTGTAACTTGTGTTATTGCAGGTAATACCGATTGACCATGTATGATGCTAGTTCTTCCCTTCAGTAATGCATTGCCTTGGCATTTGTTTTTCAAACGTTTACGTGGCATTTCTACTGTATGAGGCTATCGACGACCAGGGATCCTGGTTCTCTCCGATTCAAAGCCCCCCAAATCCCTGATTAAAATTAAAGGCCCACCCCCCAGCTGCCAGGTCCACAGCTCCCTGCCCCCAACAGCTGCAGCAGAAGCCATGACCTGCCAGAGGGGTCCAGCCCCCTGCAAGCCCCACTTACCTCCCAGGCTCCCTGAGCAAAGAGGGGCTGAGCTGCACCATGGCTGATTGAGCGCCTCAGGCCCTGCCCTTCCCCTCCCACTCCGGGCAGGGCTGGGCTGGGCTGGGCTGGGGGTTTCCAGCCCTTTTTGCAGTTAGCTCTCGCAGACCCGAGCTCTGCCAGCTGCACAGCTCTTTGCAAAAGAGAAATGCACGGGTTTCCCTACTAAAAGGGAAAATCTGTGTTTTCTCTGATAAAAACGGGAAATCCGTGGGTTTTCTCCCTTCTTCCGCGGGAAACGGAGAACCCGGATCCCCGCTGATGACGATGCCCGCCCCTGGGTAACCAAAGTGCCGGTCTCTTTAAAAACAGCATGAGAACTGCTGAGGCTCAGCTCGACCGTCTGACCTTTGAGGAGGCCGCGGTTCATTTAAGTGATTACACGAAACCCCCACAGACCGCTGCATTACCCCGGGCAGTCAGTAACGTGTCGCAGGGCAGGATCAGACACCACAAAACCTCAAGGGGGGGGATGGGACGCACGTGTTGCACTAAACGTCCTGCCTCCGTCTTCTTATTGCCCCGGGAACAGAAAAGCGTTTGTTTGTGGCCAACTCTCTCCTCGTACCTCAGCCGGTGCCAGTGACCCGGCCGAGCTGTTTACGTGAGTTTTGGCAACTTCGAAAGACTCAAGGCTCACGTAGAGGCAAGTCCACCCTAGAGCCCCGTTAGGGTAGAGGAGTCGAGAGACCACAGGCTCCGGGAGTCGGGGGTAGAAACGCTTTAATGAGAACGGCTCTGAGAGCTGCTTTAATTAAAGCGCCCGGCGCACGTTGTATATCGGTATCGCCGTGCTGAAACACGGCTGGTTGAAGGAGCTTTACACGAAGCGCCCGTCGCCATTGTTCGCCGTGGGGACGTCGACAGGCGAGACGCTGGAGTTGGCCAGAGCGCAGCAATTGCCACGCCCAGGAGACTCGAGTAATCCCGGATTAATTAGTCCAGGATCAATCCAGCCTGCTCCGACCGGGCGTGACCGGGGCGCAGCCTCACCGCTCGCGTGCAAGCGCCGAGGCGCCCGCTACGGACGGCGAGCGGCCGCGTGGGATTTCTCCCCTGGCAGAGAGCGAAGAGAAAGAGACCGAACGCCGTCGCCTCGGGCTGCACGCGTGTATTCAGGCCACGCTAGCAACAAGGTGACAGCAGGGCTCGCCGGGGCGGGCGGGAAACAGCCAGCAGGCGCGCGGCGGCGTTACGGGATGGCGGCGCAAGCCCGGCCGCGTACCCGCAGCAGGCGCCCCACGAGAGACGGGCCTTCACCCCCCTGACCGTCCTCGTGTCCGGGGCGTGGGGCCAGCCGGCGCTCACCCGGCTTCACATCCGCCGTTCGCCGTCTGGCG